TTTTTTTTTTTTTTTTTTTTTTTTTTTTTTTTTAATCTGCTGTACTTTATTTCCTGGTGAGGAGGTATTTTTTTTTAAGAGAAGGACCCTATGTTGAAACAGTTGATTTGAGTGAATCAAATGTTAATCCTCCAAATACGCGAGTAGGACCCGAGAGCTTCCAATTACTGAAGGTTTTAGGCAAGGGTGGATATGGGAAGGTATGTTTTCTAAGTCGATGTTGCTGTATTTTTTTACATAGTATATTTCTGACAGTACAGTAAATATATAATTTTTTACGTTCTTTTTTAGTTAAAAGATTGATTTTTTTTTTCTCGATAAGTGTAACGATAATGTCTTTGTGGGACCTCTTCAATTTTTTATCGTTGCTGGCTGGTATTCAGATATCTCTTATTTTTTCTTATCAAACGCTGTCTTTCCTACTATCATTCTATGGCCGTCAGGTCGAGCTCGGAATATTAAAATATGATTTGGTCATTTAATATCAGTTAATAAAAGATAGATAACAATATTAATGTTCTAGGTCTTTCAAGTTAGAAAAATTAATGGACGAGACAAAGGCAGAATTTTTGCCATGAAAGTTTTAAAAAAGGCGACTATAGTTAGGAATCAAAAAGATACTGCTCATACTAAGGCTGAGAGGAATATTCTTGAAGCCGTTAAGGTAAGTTTACTTGTTATCTCCTGCCATTTTTTCTATTTTGGGCATATTCTGGAGAAAACGACTTCTTTTTTTTTTTAATTTATGAACTTTAGGAATGTGAGACTTATTTTTTTTTATCAGGAAAGTGTTCATATGATTAATTTTGAAAGTATTGTGAATTGTTGCCTTCTGCTAATTATTGTCTGTAGCTATCTTTTTTGAAATTACAGTGTTTATTAAATTATTTTTGCTAACTGTAAAAAACTTACTGTTGTTTGGTTTTTTAGAGTCCATTCGTTTGCGAATTAATTTATGCATTTCAAACTGGTGGTAAACTTTATTTAATTCTTGAATATTTAAGTGGCGGCGAACTATTCATGCATCTGGAACGTGAAGGTATTTTTATGGAGGTGCGTTCTGGAATTCGTTCTTTGTGAATTTTGGAGTTTTTTTGATTTTTATTTCTTTTTTTTATTTTTTTTGCAAAAAGCGTCGTTTTTTGTTGATAGGGAAAGTTTTTTTTAGGAAACTGCTGCTTTCTATCTTTCTGAAATTGTTTGTTCTTTGGAGCATCTTCATAAACAGGGTATTATTTATCGCGATTTAAAACCTGAAAATATTCTTTTGGACAGTCGAGGTAGGTATATTATCCTATAATAAAATGCGTTGAAGTTTCTACTTAGCAATGTTTTAAATAATTCGCTGGGGGAATGTTTGAAATGTTTTTAAAAATTTTTTTATTTTCTGGTTTTGCAGGACATGTGAAATTAACTGACTTTGGACTTTGTAAGGAGTCAATTGAAGGAGACCAAAAAACCCACACTTTCTGCGGAACAATTGAATATATGGCTCCTGAAATCTTGATGCGAGTGGGACATGGGAAGGCTGTCGACTGGTGGAGCCTTGGTGCTCTTATGTTCGATATGCTGACTGGGGGCCCTCCGTTCACTGCAGAAAATAGGTGGGAGTTGATTGATACAAACGGTACTTATTTTGCGAACTGGTATTCTTTTAGAGGTGTAGTTCGCTTGTTTTGTTTAACTGACTTGCATTTCGCAATTTATTTGTTTAGGAAGAAAACTATAGATAAGATTCTGAAAGGGAGGCTTACTTTACCTACCTACCTGAGCGGTGATGCGAAAGATTTGATTAAAAAATTGCTGAAGAGGCATGTCGAGACTCGTCTTGGTGCTGGTCCCTCAGATGCCCTAGAAATCAAAGGGCATCCATTCTTCTCTTCTTTCAACTGGGATCGCGTCTATGCTCGTGAGGTTTGGCGGCTTCTATCAATCATTTGCTGTTTTTTTCAGACATAGTTTCCTATGCAATTTATTATGGTGGTTTTTCGGCACGAAGCTAGTAAGAGATATTCTTTCTTAAATTAGTTATATTCTTCATCAAAAATGAGTTGATCGGTTGATTTTAGATGGAACCACCATTTAAACCAAATATTACTGCTGACGATGACGCCTCTTTATTTGACAAAAAGTTCACGGAAATGACTCCAGTAGATTCTCCTTGTGATAATAATTTATCAATGTCAGTAAACCCATTTGAGGGGTTCACATATGTTGCTCCAAGTGTTCTGGAGGATATGTACAATGATACTCCAACTGTAGTTAAAGCGCGTTCTCCACGGAAGCACCAATTGTAAGCTTACAAGTTTATATTTCTACTGGTAATTTTCACCGAAATTTTTATGCTTGAAAAGGAAATTATAAGGAGTTTAAATATTATTTGTATTTTAGTGCAGCTTTCGCAGAAGAAGAAGCTGAAGTTCCGGGTTATGCAGAAGAAGCCATGGATATTACGACCCCTA